TGATGTAAGTATTCAATCTTTTAATTGAATGATACATCGTGTTTTATTTTTGCATAAAACTTGTCTCTATGTAATGAATCAAGATCTATGAATTTAAATCTCTCGAAAAGTTTTTAAAACTAGCACGTTTCCTAACAGTAACAACAACAGGGGGACGGTCATCAAGTATCAATAATTACATTGCAATCTTACTTTAGAAAACCTAATGCATAGGACCAAAAAATAATTTTTATTATTTAAATATATATATAAAAATTCCAACAATCTTCCACTTGGTCCATGCACTCTAAGTTTTATAAAATGACACAATGAATTGCAACAACACTTTATAAAAGTCGAGTGACCACTCATTTTTATTTATAAAACACAATTATTGAAATTGATGGATTCAAACTTTAGAACACTCTTTTCCCTAAATTTTCTCAATAGTGGATCATAAATGCGTAGTATTTTACGAAATGTGCAAACTGCATGTAGTTTAAATGCACACCTCTTTGCCGGGAAATCCACAATCTATTCGGATTGGATGAAATTGAAAAAGACAATGGAGATAAGACTCGATTTTGAGAGGACGGAGTTTAGTTGGTTCTATATGAAATGGTGGCTTGTGCAGAATGAACTTGCTTAAACCATTCTTATTTCTTGGCTCGAGTGGTCCATTCCGGACTGTGCATTGGCATGTGCATAATTTGACACTTCCGTGACTCACTCGTGAACTCAAAGATCCCATCTTCATATTCAACACCTTTATCCGACGAAGTGTCGGATTATATTACTGCAAATCTTTACTTCTCTTTTGGAACTCACCCATGGGATATGGTATTCTTTTATCTTGTTCCCAGTAGGTGGGAGTGAAGTTTTGCCCTTTATTTCTTTGGATAAGAGCAGTGAGATTAGTGTTATTATTATTATTATTTCTTCGGAAGAGTCGTGATTAAGGATAGCAAAGTTTGACACAATCCGTTAACACGACTCAAAAACGACACGAGTTTAATGAGTTTGGCTTGACTTTAGTCGGGTTCGGGTTATAAACGGGTCGACATGACTAATCTATTTAATTAATTGTATTTTATTTGAGTTGAAGTGGTTCAACCTTTATATTTCGTATATATCCGTTTAACTATACGTGTTATAAATAAATTTATATTTAAATTCTAAAATAACTATTTAAATTTGTGTCTTATAATTTATTTTTTTATAAACTACAGACTATTTAGTAATAATTTGGTTGGATTGAAACTTATATATTTTTTACTATTTATTGTTTGATTAAGTATTATTAATAATTTAAATAATAGAATTTTTTAGTTTAGTAAATGGGTAGTATTCGGGTTAATCTATTTAATAGAATAACCTTAAATCGACACAAAACGATTATGACCCGCAAACACAACTTGTCATCTTAGTGATGATACAGAATTTGAAAATCCAACTACTTTTATTCGGATGAAAGATAACATCATTCTATTTTATGACATCATAATGTCATCTTTTCTCGCTCATATAAAAGAGTGGATTGGACTACTTATTATTTTGGTCTTCAGAAATTTCAATTTTGTCATCTCAAAAAATAGACCTGATAACTATCAATCTGAAATTTAGTGGCCTCTGTCTTTTTTTCAAAATAGATGTCATAACCATCAAGTCTTTTCAAGAACATTATGAAGCCCTTTGTCACATAAAAAACTAAGAAGAAAAAAAATAAATATAGGATTACAATGGATAGTGTGTAGCCCATGAAGAACCTAAAGTTAATGATTTTGACACCCTTTTTATTGAGAAAAAATCACCCCGAGTAACACATTAAAGATTTACAAAACAAATTGAAACAAGGAAGTTTTACTTTTGAGAAATACTTGCAACAAAGTTTTATACAGTACTAAATACAAAATTTTCTTTTACCTTTTTGGTATCATGTATGTTATTTTACTAATTGTCCCAAAAAAATTTATTAAAATTTTGACTGAATAAAATGAATATATATAAGCTTTATATTAGATTCATGTTATATTAAATTCACTAAAACAAATTTGATGCATCCTTTTAAGATAAAATTAGAAAGATGATTTTTTATTCTTGTGATTTTTTTTTTAAAGAAATGTGAAGTAAAAAATTTAAAAGTAATGAAAATAATTCATTTATTATTTACAAATGTAACGCATGCAAAAGTATTAGCTGTAATTAATTTATAACACGTTATGAGTAGTTTATTACCAATAGTGAATTTGATATAATTGAACAGTGAATTTGGAAGTAAAGAGCATAATTGGTATTTTAGTGGGGTATAGTAATGAAGGGCAACGTGGAAAAAAGTACATTATTAAATAAATTTTGATTATTTAAAACTATATCTCAAAAGTTTAACTTATTTTATGGAAATTATATGAGACTTTTTATTTATTTTTTAATTCAATGTTTCCACTTTAGTGGTTTTATTTCAATGTTTCTTTTGGCCGAGTTTGGAAGGAAAAGAAAAGAAAAAAAAAGGTAATGGAAGGAAATGAAATATTGTGCTTTGTATTAAGTTTTAAAGTGTTGGTTTTGTTATTCTTCCAAAAAAAATGGGAGAAAAAGAAAGTAAAGACTTTCATTTTTAATGAAATTTTGTCATTACAAATTTGCCTCTATTTTTAAAAAAGATAAAATTTATGAAAAAATACAAAAGTAAATTTGTCTTTATTACTATCATTTTTTTTTTTTTCCTTTTATTAATCAATCATAAACCATATCCTCTCATTTTCATTCTTTTATTTTCTTTTTTAACTAATCTTATCATCCTCCTCCTCCTTCTCCTTCTTTCCATATACATATATATATATTTTTGGTCACCAAATATAGCTTTATTAAGCCAAAATCTTTTATTTAAAGATTAATTTTACTCGCACCCCTTTAATTTTGATCAAATAACATATTGAAACACTTTTCGAAATAAAATAACATTAATTTCTTTTTGACTTTTATTTTGACTTATAAATGGTTGACTTATGTATGAAATGACTTAATTACTTATAAAACTAATGTTTAGTCACCAAAATATCCATAACCCTATTAAAACTATCCAATCTTATCTTCTCACCACTCTCTTTGTCTCCACCCACTAGATCACCGACTCCATTTTTATGTCATTGATGAAGTTTGAAATAAAAAATGACTCCATTTTTATGTCATTGATGAAGCTTGAAATAAAAAATAAAAAAAAAATTTTATATGATTCTTATATTGTCCTTTTGCATAACAAAAATGGGTTACATTCAGCCACCACAATCACCATCACCACCATTTCCACACCGGTCACACACACACATATATACACACAATCACACACATATATCACCAGACCATGGGAGAACACAAATTTAAATATGGAATATAAAAATTGAATGAGTATGCAGAATTTTAAATATATATATATATATATATATCGAACTCAGAGGAGCCAAATGGGTATGCAGAATTTTTGACAACGTAAAAATCAAATTAGCACAAAATATAATTCCATACTAATAAAATAAAAGGAAAAAAAAAAAAAAAAAAAAAAGGAGATCCATAGCCTCATTTCATAATTCAAAAATAATTTTTGCCTTCTCCGTTATAGAAATATTGAATCAGTGGGTCACATGAGGGAATGGACACTGAACAACCACAAAATCACCACTCTTATTGTGCGTATAAGCTTGTATATATATACATATACATGGGTTGTGGAGAAGAGAGGTGAGTGATCAGTGAGTCTGTAGAGGGTTATGAGACCTTGGAAGGAAAAGTGGGTGTGCAGAAGGTTGGAAGATAAAAGAAGATAAGAGAGTGAATTTTAGAAAAAGAAATAAATGGGGGGTAATTTTGTATTTTAAGTTTGTTGATATTTTGGATTAAAATGAATTAAAAAATTAGGAATGAAATTGTCTTTTCTTATGTTTTTAATAGTGTTCGAAAAGGGAAAATTAAATCTAAATAATAATAATAATAATTTATAAAAGATATTTCAATAGAATATTTAAACAAATTAAAAAAGGTGTCCATAGAAGTAACCTTTACTTAAAAACATTCAAACTACTCAAATTGACACGTGAGTTGTGACAGGTCAGGCTTCTCATTAATGCATCCTTGTGTCCTTAAAACGAAAAATAGCAAGTCACATTAAATAAAAAAATTTCGAAAAGCCTCTAGTCCTACACAGTTCTAGAGTCCAAAAATATATCCTTGTACTTTAATAACAGTGCAACCAAAATTGTCATTAAATAGTTTCAAGTCACATATTTAATACTGAAGCAAATCATATAATAAATGCTCCCAAGTTCCCAACATAAAATGGATTTGTTCAAGGAAATATTATTTCACAAAATGCAATTATCTTACTTACTCAAAAATAAAAAATAAAAAATATTGCAATTATCTCACTGTTGCCTAGCAAAGTAACTAGAAAACATAATAAATTTGACAGTATTGTGCTGATGCAATTTTTTTTTTTTTTTTTTAAATTTCTCAAATTTATCTCGGGTTATTCCAGAAAAATAGAGTGGAATAAAATATTTTTCTCAAACTCCTTTTCTTACAAACTCCATTTTTTTGAACGACCAAGTAGCAGCACATCAGCTCATTTATGCAAATTCTATTCTTTTGTTATATTTGGTTGGATGTAAAATATTTTTATAAAAATTTATTTTTATTTTTTGATATTTGATTGTTATAAAATATTTAAAGAAAAAAAAAATCTAACAAAAAAAATTTAATAATTAATTTTTGACAAATTATTTACACAAAATATTAAAAAAATAATATATATATTTGAACCTACATGTAAAATCACCAGGGAGCCAACATGTATCCACCTACGACAAAAACTGACTAATTGCTTTTGTAGAAGAATGAGTAAAATTAATTGTTAATTGATTCCAAAGAACCTAAAACTGTAAAAGGGCAGGTGGGTTTATTTGTTGAAAGAAGCATGTTACAGAAACAGTTGCTTTTGCTTTATAAATACAGAGAGGTCTCAGTGTTATCTGTGCAGCTTGCAGGTAAGTTGTTGGTTGGCTGATTGGGGTTTGGGTTTTCGTTTACACTTTGTGCAGAGCCAACTCAAATGGCTTCCTCTCATTTCCCTTTCTTTCCACTTATTTTCCTTCCCCTCCTCTTCCTTTCCTTCTCTCCCTCTCTGCTTCTCTGCAATGCCTTCCATGGCCAACACTACCCCCTCCACCACCACCGCCACCCACACTTCGCCTCTCACAACTACAGAGACGCTCTCACCAAATCAATCCTCTTCTTTGAAGGTCAGAGGTCCGGGAAACTTCCCCCAAACCAGAGGGTCACTTGGAGGAGAGACTCTGGTCTCTCTGATGGCTCTTCCTTTCATGTATGTGTACATTTTCTCACCCTCCAAACACACTTTTTCTTGTCATATTGTGAAAGGTTTGAAGTGGGTTTTGTTGATTTTGGTGTGTGAATGTGACAATGCAGGTTGATTTGGTTGGCGGGTACTACGACGCAGGGGACAATGTCAAGTTTGGGTTCCCTATGGCTTTCACTACCACCATGCTTTCATGGAGTGTGATTGAGTTTGGTGGGTTGATGAAAGGTGAGTTGCAGAATGCTAGAGAAGCCATTCGTTGGGCTACTGATTACCTTCTCAAAGCCACTGCCCAACCAGACACCATTTATGTCCAGGTTTGTGCTCAAATCTCTCTCTACATTGTGTATTTCACAAAATGGGACTTCACAAATTTTTGGGCATTTTAGCCCCCATTATGTTAAGGACAAGAACAGAATCACAAGGGACCATCACAATGCCATCACAAATTAATTGAGATTATAAACTTTATTTTATAATTATTTTTGGGCATTTTAGGTCCATATTATTTGGGACAAAACAGAGGGCTTATGCTATGGGGTTGGGTATGTTTTCATATATCTAACTGTGTGTGTGTTTTTTTATAGCCTTATAGATGGGTGATGCCTGCAAGGGACCATAACAATGCCATTACAAATTAATTGGGAGTTTTTTTGTTTTTATTTTTGTTTTTGTTTTCGTTTTTTGTTTTTGGGCATTTTAGGCCCATATTATTTGGGACAAAACAGAGGGGCTTATCACTTATGTTATGAGATTTGGGTATGTTTTTTTTTTATTTGTAAAACTGTGTGTGACTGGGTGTATGTGTGTGTTTTTGTAGGTGGGTGATGCCAACAAAGATCATGCTTGTTGGGAGAGACCAGAAGACATGGACACACCAAGGACTGTGTTCAAGATAGACAGGAACACCCCTGGCTCAGATGTAGCAGCTGAAACTGCAGCTGCTCTTGCTGCTGCATCTTTGGTCTTCAGAAGAACTGACCCCACTTACTCTAGGCTTCTGGTCAGGAGGGCCATAAGGGTATGTTCGGATGAACACAAACCAACTCTTGATACATAGCAACAAACAACATATAATACTATTTTTTTACCTAAAAAAAAAACATATAATACTATTTCTTAATTTTTTTTTTTTTTTTTCACAAATCTCAGCTTTTATGCTGTTTGTATGTTGAAATAGGTATTTGAGTTTGCTGATAAGTACAGAGGTTCGTATAGCAATGGGTTGAGGAAAATTGTTTGTCCTTTCTATTGCTCTTTCTCTGGTTTTCAGGTAATTAATAATCCCATATTTTTTGCTTTTAATTTTTTCTTTAATAATATATATATTTATATTTATATATATTGTTATTGAAGGATGAGCTGCTGTGGGGTGCTGCTTGGTTGCATAGAGCCACCAAGGCACCAACTTATCTCAACTACATACAAGTAAATGGGCAGACGCTTGGGGCTGATGAGACTGATAATACATTTGGTTGGGACAACAAGCATGTTGGAGCTAGGATCCTTCTCTCTAAGGTCCCTTTTCTCAATATTGATTCATCACCATGTTTTCAATTATTTCACATGCATATTCATATGACTTTTCATCACCATCCTTCTCTCTAAGGTCCCTTGTCACTTTTTTTATGGAAGTGGTTTAATTAATTTTTTGACTTTTAATCTAATTTACAACATTGCCCTTGCATATTCAGTCATTTCTTGTCCAAAAGGTCCAGTCCCTCCATGATTACAAAGGCCATGCAGATAACTACATCTGTTCTCTCATTCCAGGGGCCCCCTCCTCTTCTGCCCAGTATACCCCAGGTCCTCTCTCTCTGTAGATTTATTCTCTCTCTTATATATATATACACACATATATACATATGTGTGTGTGATTTGTAATGCAATAGTGGCTTTAATTTAACAGGGGGACTTCTTTTTAAGATGAATGATAGTAACATGCAATATGTGACTTCCACCTCTTTCTTGCTGGTGACCTATGCAAAGTATTTAACCTCTGCCCACAAGGTTGTTAATTGTGGTGGTGCCATTGTCACCCCTAGGAGGCTCAGAACAATTGCCAAGAAACAGGTACATATATATATATATATATATTAGGGACATTTATGCCATTTCTTTTATGGTGTGTTAGTGTTTAATTTGTTTGATTATGTCCTTGGTATTGACATTTAGAATGTGTCACATTTAACAGGTGGACTACCTACTAGGAGACAATCCCTTGAAGATGTCCTTCATGGTTGGATATGGTACAAGGTACCCACAGAGGATCCATCACAGGGGATCATCCCTACCGTCCGTCGTGGCACACCCAGCCAAGATCCAGTGCTCCTCGGGCTTCAATATCATGAAGTCCCAATCCCCTAACCCTAACATCCATGTGGGGGCGGTGGTCGGTGGGCCCGATCAGCACGATTGCTTCCCGGATCAACGGTCGGATTACGAGCAGTCGGAGCCAGCAACCTATATTAACGCACCTCTTGTAGGAGCATTGGCCTATCTTGCTCACTCATTTGGCCAACTCTAGTGTGTGCCCTTAAGACAGTGGCACCAAAATTCTAGCTTATATATTAGTAGTATCTAATTGTGGGGTTCAAATATTCCCTTGGCTGTGGTTAGGGTCGAGACCTAAGGCTCGAGCCCCAAACCTTGTGTGGCGAGGTTGTCAAGGTGATATATAGTTTATATTTATAGATTATGTTAGGTTATTAATTTAGTAACAGTTTGATGTATTGTTTGAGTACTACTTTCGTGCCTTAAACGGCATTTTATCTGTGTGAAATATTAGTATGAAATGGCCATAGAGCTGCTCTTTTAGTATGTTTTGTCTTGCTTTGGAACTTGTATTATGTTTTCTAGGGTTTAACAAGTAAGGAATCCTCAAAGAAGTCCAACTTCTTCCAAAAAGTGGTGGTATCCATACAATATATGTGTATATATAAAAGGGATGGAGTTGCAAAAAAATACCCCTCAATTTATATGTATGTGTGTGTGTATATATATATATATATATATATATATAGTTGTACATAACATCTTTGTATTGGAAAAATTCTAAAATAATTTTCGAGATATCGTAATTCCAGTTTTCTCAGTCAATGAATCCGGTGATGAAACTCCCCTGATGGTTGATTCAGCGACTCTTAAACTCAATGATACTTTACCTTGGGTATTGTACAACTTTCTTAATAAAATGAGTATATATAACTAGGGGTGCACAAAGAACTGGAGCCTGAACCGATGCTTCAATTTTGGTTCTTAATGGTTTTAGTTCCAATTTTTAAGAACCGTTGGGAAATGTTTCGGTTCCAGACTTCAGAATTGGAACCGTAAAATAATTATATATTATGTTTTAATTATATAACTACTAATATATATGTTTATTGATGTTTATAAAGAAATATATAATAAATATATATTTTTATATATCAAAATGCACTACAAATGAGTTTAGAGTCATTAAATTATTAATTTTTTTTAAAAATAAAAGGAATCAAAATTGAACCAGAACCGAAATCTAGAACTAGTTAGGAATCGAAATCAGAACCGTTTCGATTTCAACCAGTTCCACCAAGAACAGTAGAATGCCATGTGCACCTATATATATATATATATCCTGACAAACAAGAAACCACCCTATATAGCTATCATTTACTTCGAGAAAATCCTGCAGATCCAACATTGGCCATTCATTTTTCAACCAATGAAACTACACTTAAAAAAAAAAGGAGAAGTTATTATTGTGCCTAACTTTATATCAAAGGTAATCGATCAAATGAGATATATTTTTTTCACTTCATTCAACGCAAAAAACTATATATATATATATATATATATATATATTGTAGTAGTAGTGTATGTAAATACCGAATGGAAAGCAAACAAGAGGACAATGGGAATGGTTTAGGCTCTTAATGGGATAACGTGGCGGAATGAATATTTTACCGTTGGTGTGGCCCCCACCAATTGACCGTTGAAAGAAAGCGACGTGATGATGGAGGAGATATACCGAATGAACCAATGCCAAACCAATGGTTCAATACCATCCAAGCCATGTGACACATGCAGCGGGTTGTGTTGTTTATGTGGTCAAAAGCTGCTGATTTGCAGCAGCAGTGTCAGAACTGGGTTGGTCTGGAGGGCCTACTTACTGGGAGATTTGAGGAACTTTAGGGCTGTGACTTGCGGGAAACTAGACCTAAAACTCTCTCTAACGTGTCCACATGGAATATAGGTTTACGAGGAAGATGTATTCACACTTTTACCACTCTCTTTTATAAAAGCAATCCTTTTGTTGTTGGAATTTTTTTTTTTTTTTTTTTAACAAAAAAAAAATTTATATTTAAAAAAAAAAAAATTCAATATATATATTTTTTAAACAAAAAAAATTTTTATGCCTCCATGGGCGCAACAAAGTTGGTGAGAGGAAGAGCCTCTAAGTGGTAGACGCTCGCTCGTATCAAGCATTTGGATGTGGGCTTAGTTCTACTCTAACTCTGCAAGTTTTCAATTTAAAATGTTACTTAAATTGTGAGTCGAGGTGGGTAGCTGAGAGTTTATTTGGTAGTTATAAGTCAAAAAAAAAATAAAAAAAATTATATAACAGAAATACTTTTAATATTTAGGGTTAATTACAATGACACCGCCTGAAGCTTACTTTATTGACAGCCATATACAAGTTAGCTCATTTTTGAACGATAATACCCCCTCAGCTTTGCTGTCTTTGACAAAGACACCCGTTGAGGGGCTGACATGTGGTAAAATGACCTAAGTGCCCTTTGATTTATGAAATGATACTTTTGAATAGCGAAATTACTAAATTACACATTCTAATAAATTTAAAATGTCCAAAATAACCTCTCTCACATCTCTCTATATACAAATATGATCAATATATACATTACCTGATATATATATAGACTCACTTTGCTCGATCTGCAAATATGATAAATATATACATAACCTGATATATATATAGACTCACATATACTGATCTGTGGCCAGAACAAAGTGTGTTTTGCCGCCATTGCTCGAAACGTCGCCGACCAACAATCATCTGACTTCCCTAAGCCATTTGCTTGTCGGAGTAGATTCAAGCGAGATTTTAGATTGCGCAAAGGAATCAAATGAATCTCATTTAGTTAATTTGGGTGATACCACCACCACCACCTCCGCCGTAACCTTCGACCACGGTCTCATGATGCAAATGGATCTGGATTGATCTGTATGTTGCTACTCTGTTTGTTTTTGCACATTTTTGCATAGATCAGGCGTAGTGGTGCTGATAAGAGATGTGATACTGTGTAATCACCGGTGGTGGACAGAGACGGTGGTGGTGGTTATGGCTAAGGAGAAGTGGTGGCGGTGGCGGCTGTGATTGAGGAGAAGTGATGGCAATATAAAGAGGGAGATGATGACGGCAGTTATGGTTGAGGAGATGGTGGCAGCGGGATGTGGTTGAGGATAAGTGGGGGTGGCTGTGGTTAAGTGGTTGCGTTTGATCGAGGAGATGATGGCGGCGGGTGAAGAGAGAAAAGGTGTGGGGATCGATGGGTTGAAGAGATTAGTAGAAGGGCAAAAGTATCATTTTAAAATTCTAATATTTTACAATTAAAATTAGTTAAATATTGATGGGCAATTTGGTCTTTTCAAACCTTTTAAGGGCCTGTTTGGTTCCAAATTTTGTTAGGGGGTATCATTATCTAAAAAACGTCTAACTTGTATATGAGTGTCATTATGACAAACATCCGGGGGTATTCTTGTAATTAACCTTAATATTGAATTCAATAATTATGATTTAAAAACACAAATATCATTTCATTTTAAAAGTAATGTATCTATAAGAAAGTGAGTGTAATTAGGGGATGTATGGTTTGGTCTAGTTCTAAAATGAACGAGTTACGACAATGTAATGACCCGATCATTTTCCTTCCTTTCCTTTTTCTCAAATTTCACGGATATTTTTTTTCTGTTAATCTTTTCTGTTTCGTCGTTCGGCTGATTGTTGCTTTTTGTTTCGTCGTTCGACTGATAAGAGCCATCAGTCGGCTGACATATACTCGAGATCAATTCCAGTAGCTAAAGTTCAGTTTGGGCCATAACCCTCCAGTAAAAACGCCTGACCATATAGGTCGAAACACCTGACCATGTAAGTTAGAACGCCTGACCATGTAGGCCAGAACGCCTGACTTTGTAAGTCATGCCAAACGGGTGTTCAGTGTTAATGAGTGCCGAACGAGCACTCAGTGTTGAAGAGTGCCGAACGGGCACTCGGTGCTTCGGCTTTGGACAAGCGCTCGTCCATGCTTCAGAACTTTCTTTTCTTTTGCTTTGATCATCTTTCGCTTCCGCATTTCAGATCTGTTATTGGGTCATCTTTTGGTCATCACTGACGCATCGGGTTTATAAAACTTAGGCCGTCACAAGTGGTATCAGAGCTCCTAGGTTTGAATACCTTAGGACAACAGGTTTTGGGTGCATATCATGCTTTTATTGATCTACTTTGATATATTTTCATGTTTTTTGATAGCATGTTTTGGTGTTGTAACTTGTTTACGTGTTTCTTGATAATACGCTTGGTATTATGACATGTTTCTATGCTTATATGCTTATGTGTTTAAAAGTATCATTGTTTAACATGTATGCTTATTTGCTTAAGTGCTTAACTATTTAAAGGGCTTTCTTTGATTGCTTTAGCATAACTGTATGTTGCATACCTTGTCTTGCTTCGTGTTTCGTGCATTCATAGTGTGAGTTGCATTCGATCATAATAACTCATGTTATTATTGATCTCATTTCTTTTTCATGCATATAGCGTCACAGTCTTGACTTGCAGAGAGTCTTCTCGTTAGGGCTCAGGTGAGCGTAGTGTTGTAGTCTCCGTCTAGCGAGATGAGACATAGGCCACGGAGGCACCGTTTCGTCTCATTTTCTTTTGTCTCTTCGTGATGTAGTCATGGTAGTGTTAGAGGTGTCGGTGTCATTTCTTAGGACTTCGTAGTGGTCTTGATGTCATAATGTCATTGAGGTCTTTGTTTCTAGCGTCATGGGACGATGAGTCAGGACTGACTAGAGTTCTTCCTTGGGGAGTCGGGAGTTTCCGTATAAGCCTTAGGGCGAGGTTCTTGTGTCTTGTTTTCTTAGGATGATGGTTTTGGGATTTGGATAGGTGTGTTGACTTAGGATCCTTCTTGTGTTGCCTTGGACAGCTCTTACGAGCTACGGTTGGGATGTGAGCGGTTTCATGTAATTAATTACGTTGGTGCAATTAATTACTCTTCTTTGTCTTTGGAGACTTGGGGCATTATGTTAATGTTCTGGTAGAATCTTGTAGAGTTCCTATCGAACTCGTTGGCATCTTGGATTGGGGGTTTTCTTGTTGATGTCTCGTAACGGTTAGCATTGGGGCTAATTGTTGTCTTGTTTCGTGTGGTGTGGGGATTTCATCAAGGTGTGAACTGGTCTTGGGAAAGACTTGCTGACCTTATGTTTCGAGGACCTTAGTGGTCATTGGGGAAATGATTTTTTTCCTCATAGTGAGAGATTAGACTCATCTAGGTTTTGTGTTACGTTTTCTGAGAGGTTGTCCTTTTGAGAGGCATTCCATTTATTTTTCTTATTTTGTGCAAATTCCATTTGTGAGATCACTTTTACATGTTTATGAGCCCCATTATTTTCAGGCATGTATTAGAAACATGTTTAGGATATATGACTATGTGGTAGTTCGTGTGAGGATATATATGATACGTTTTCATATACTGTATTTGTTTAACATGTTAGTGTCATTAGTGGTGTATAGCGTGTCATCATTTGTTTAACCC